CACCCCACCTTTCCGGAAGCGGCGCCGACCCCCTGGCGCAAACGGGCGAGCGCGCCTGTAAACGGCTCCAGTGTGACAAGTGCCCGGCGTGAGCTGCGTATCCTGGGGCCTCCCGAGACCCTCTGGAGCGCAGCGCCCCACGCCGATTTGTCCGTGGGTACCTTCCTGTCCCCGCTTTGCGCAGGGCGAGGGTGGCCCCTGCACCACTCCTAGCCCGTCCTCCTCCGCTCTCCCAGCTCCAGGTGTAATGTAGTCCTTCTGGTTAGTGGTGCTTGCGGGGCTTCACGCTGCTAGGCGCCTCTAAAGGAGTTGGCAGTAGTGGGAGGTGTGGAAAATAGCTTGATGGCTCTTGAACTACTAGTCTGCCCTAGGGTTAAACTGTACTAGGAACAAGCATGTTCCCTGTCTGTGCTATTTACAGCTGTTAACTTATTTTAGTAAGATATAATGAGTAACTGTAGTATAAACAAACCCGGGATGTGTTTGGGGTTGGCCTTCCCTTTCTAAAACAGGAAGGTCAGTCTGCATGTGTGTAAAAACCGAAGGGCGGAGGGGAGAGCTTACTTCCTGTTAAACTTCACTAAATCAAATAGTAGTAGTATTTGCATGTGACTTACCTGCTTGTCAGGCTTGATAGTGGGTTGTGCTCCCAATGTTGTTGGAAGCCTTTTATAGAAGAATCTTTTGAGGAGCCATCAGATTATTTTCCATGATACCTTTACTTGTGTAGTAGTGGCCTGTATGTTTGTAAATAGACTAGCATATTTAAACAATTTCACATCCTAAACCAAATCATTTAAACAACTTCATAAGAGCAAAACCTACTTTTTAAACAGCAGTTTGACAAACAGTACCCTTTTTATGGCTCATTAGCAACTGGACTAGACAAATTGATAAGCACTAGAAATATCTCCATTTTAAACAAACAAAGTTGTGAACTGACTGACATTAATAACATAAACTCTAGACAAAAACTGTTTCCAGAAAGCAAACTTCCATGTTGTCTTCATGAAAATATTTCAAAGATGGCTTTAAAGTCATACCTGAAATATGTCCTTATTGAGCACCTTTTTCTCAAATAAGGACAACACTCTTGGGTTATAAAATAATAGTTGGGCAAACCTTTCTCATGTCCTATACTGGTAGCATTGATGTAGATGGGATGTAGGGCCTTTCCACCTTTTCTGCATTCTGTCTAGAAACTAGCATTACTATTAGTGTACTTCCATTTTATTTTTATGCTCTGTGATCAAAAATACTCTTGCACTAATGAAGAAACTACTTAGCTCTAGATATTTTAGTTTTATTGTAACTTTGATTTCAGGTTTGCTGTGAAAACTTGCTACAAATAACTTCTGTGAATTGGCATTTTTAATGTGTATGCAGCTTTTTTTAAGCATTTTTAATTTGTATTCCCTCAGCAATAAATTCTGAGAGTTCAAATTCATTTTAAAATAAATAAAATTCTAAAGTGTGTTTCTCTTGTGAAAACATGTCTATTAATAGAGCACTTTGCAGATACAAAATTTGTATCCAGCTCACAAAAATGAGCCATGGCTATCCACATTGATAACCACTTTATATGCATAGATATCTGTGCCTGTGGCTATCTGTGGGTTTGCAGGGCTCTATCTGTTAAAAAAGACCTCTGAGTTGCAGGTTTGTTTCAGTGACTTCAGACTGTTTTAAAAATTGTGCTCCAATTGTATTCTCTGGTCTTAAACTTGAGATTTAAGCTGCTATCAAACCATCCCCAAACAAGGAAACCAAATTCTGCCTTCAGTGGCACCTGGACAGCCTGGTTTTCAGAGATGTTGCCCAATTGTAACTAAAGGACAATTTGGCCTGCAGTTGAAACCTAAATTCGGTTGATTTACAAAAAGTTATATAATCCCACTACCTCCTATCACTGTATTGACTTCGTAATAATAATTAATAAAATGGACTGAATAGATTTGTTACTGATGTAAGCATAATTAATACAAGATGCTATTTTACTGTAGATATGCTCAAATAAAATGTGTATTTCTGAGCTTGTCTTTACTAGCGGATTTTTGTAGAAAACCGATACTTGAAATCAAGTAGGAAGCTTAGTGTCAAACTAGTTTTCTACTTTATTTTACACCACTTCCAATTGCTAAACCAATCTTCAATATTAGTAAGTAAGTATAGTTTAAAAATATTATTCTTAAAATGTGAATTAAGTAGGATATAAATATTTCTCTAAGGAACTCTTTTAGTATGTCAAGCATGTCACTAATTGGTAATGCATTGATAGATCTAGCTGTTTCTGTACTCAAAACCTAGTTTACATTCAGTCCCTGATTCTTGTGGACTGGCCTAGGAGCACTTGCCACAAGGTAGGATGAATTTGCGAGGGCACATGGCAGAGAACTGAAAAGAAGTATAATCTGGGTGCTAGGCTGGTCACCATTTTAAATTAGAGCAGTTTGAAAGCTTCTCTAAATAAGCTGTGGTTGTTAAAAGACCCCAGAGACTCTTGAAATACTTGGTGATTTTTTTTTTGAGTGTAGGAATGTGAGACCTACCCCTTTCCTCAGCCAAATCTCTATATTGATAATAAGGATGCAGAGGTGCTACTGTATAGGGATTTTCACTGGAAAATGGAATCCTAGTGGCTGGCTAAAGTGGTGAAAATAGCATGAAACGTTGCAATACAAAGAAGCCTGGTTTTCCTGTGTGTGCAGAAAACTAATTTTCTATATTCCTGTTTTTTCTAAAACTTCTAAATTTTATGTTTAAAAAAACCTGCCAGATCTTGCATGTATGTACTGTTAGCAGTTTCTATGTTAAACCACTTTAAAATGGAAATTTTAAAAGTGAGTCTCAACTTTAGGCATGGGTCAAATATATAAAAAAATCTATTTCTTTCCTGCTTCTAGCTGCAGTGAGACTTTTTAGGATGTCCAGAAATGTGCAGCGACTTAGAGACCATGATACAAATCCTTGTATGGCGGTAAGATTGGTCAGTTACGACTTAGTCTAAGGATTCATTACTGTAGGGGTATGAAAAGTAGCAAAATCGTTTTTTTGAAAAGCAAATAGTTTATATTGCTTGATCTTCCTTCTGAAGGGGATGGTGTGTATGTAAACATCAGAAATATTTGGACCTTTTTTAAAGTTGAGAATACTAAGTTCAGAAACACAGCTGTTCATGAATGGCTGGGCTAGGCTTGTAGTTATCAGATTTGGAATTCTGATCGCAATTTCAAGGACAGACTTAAATCCTTGTAGCTCCTATTTGGGTTGTTTTTTATGGGGTGGTTTTCTTTTTAGGTAATCAAGTATTTTGCAGTATACTGTGTTTAGTACCTTTGAAAGTACCCAACAGAACTTCTGTTTGCATTCTGCAGGCAGAGGGTGACAAGCAGGTACAACTCCTAGTGAAGTCTTTGCTTTCAGATTTCCTGGCCCTTCTTGTAAGAGCAGGAGTTGCTATAGTCTCCCTGATGCAAAGTTTCTCCTAATTCCCTAACTATTGTTTGTAGCATTCAGGCAGCTTCCTTTAACCAGAGTTTGTGCTTTGGGATGTGTTTTTTTGTTTGTTTGTTTGTTTTGTTTTTTTTAAAGAATGAAGTACACTAAAGATGTGTAAATATATTTATCCCCACCAGCTCTTAAGTGTGACATGTCTTCCATATTAAAGGAAACAGATGCCTCTAGACATTGTATGGAAAACAATAACTACAGAAGGGATATGTGTACCTCTTATTTTTTAAAGTACAAAAACTGCAGAAAATTTTGGGTAAGTAGGCTTGAGCAAAATCTCAATCAAACAGAATATTTTTGTTTAACAAAACAGTCCTTTGGGTTTATCCCAGTAACTGATGCCTAAAACTAATCAAACTTTGCAGTAGATAATTCCAGTTTATTCTGTCAATATTCTGACACATTGCATCTCTACTGTTTTAGCACTATTAAAATGAAAATAGTAATGAGACTTTTAGTTTTGCCTCAGTGTAATTTTAAGAACAGTGGAGATACCAAGTAATTTTCAGATGTTAAAGCAAATCTTAAACTGATGTATTTTGGGGGTGGGGAGATTGAGGTTGTTTGCTTTTTTTGGTTTTTGTTTTAAATCTCAATGGGTCCACTCAAATGTTTCTTGCAATATTAAATACCCCCATCACCTTTGACTCCTTAGACCTTAGTACTACAGGATGGACCTCTCTGGTCCAGCCCCCTCGGGACCTGAGTGGTCCCAAACAATGAGATTTGCCGAACCAAGGGAGGTCCTGTACTAAACTGCTGCCGTCGCCCACGCCACCGCTTCCTGGCCAGCCGTCGCTCCCTGGGCTGGAGCTCTTTAGTCCCACTGCGCAGGCGGGGCTAGAGCTTCGTGGATGCTGCTAACCCCCTGCTACTGCCTTGTTGCTGGGACCAGATCTTCCCGCTGCGGCACCCTCCCCCCATCGGGCTCCTGGGTGAGGTTCCCTCCCACCCTACCCCCCCAAAGGCAACTGCATCGCTGCCAGAACTCCCTATATCTGAACTCTGTGATCCTGCTGGAGCATGGATGTTGCTGGAACAGAGAGTCCCAGTTAAAGGAGGTACAACCTATAGTATTATATTCTGACCCAAATCTCATGGATGCATTAGAAAACAAAATTAAACAATATAATCAGGGAGTTCTTTCCTATGTTAATTTCCCTCACTACTGTTTAAATAAGCTTAGTTCTATAACACCTTAGAGACTAACAATATATAGAGATCATCATGAGTTTTTTGTGGGCAAAACCCGCTTGCTCAGATGAGTCAAGCTCATGGTACTATATACCGTCTTTTAGCTAATATACCCCGTGGCTTTTGCAGTTTGAGTAAAAAAAAATATTGTATGCCCCATGCACGAGTGTAACCTGCAGGGTATACAAGACTTTTTTTTTTTCAAACTATGCGGGCAGAGGCTTCCACGGGTCGGGGGGTGGAGGGGGGATTAGCTACCCTCCGGACGGGGGAGCGCACACCCTGCCTGGTTCCTGCTCAGCTGCACAACCTCCAGGCGGGGGAATGAGAGTGCTCCCCTGCTCCTTCCTGCAGGTGCGCAGGAACCGGGAGATGAGTTCTCCCCTGCCCAGAGGCTGGCGGCTGTGCAGCGGGGGGGAAGGAGCAGGGGAGCACTCACCACCAGGTGAGTGTGGTTTTAAAAAAAAAAAGTTTGCATAACCTGCGGGGAGGGGGTGCGGAGTTTGTAAAAACTAATATAATCCACGGGTTATATTCGCTAAAATACATATGTATTTTTGTTAGCCGCGCTGCTATATTCACTTTGTCTTCCCTGACGTTATTTTTACTCTTTATTTTGCTTCCTGTTAATACATCTCAGGGGGTTTTCCATCTTAGAAATGACACTACATGACACCCATGTCCTTCTAACTCCAGCTTTTCCTTGTTCGGGGGTTTTCCATCTTGGGTGTCATGCAGTGTCATTTCTATGTCCTTCTAACTCCAGCTTTTCCTTGTTCAGGCAAAACATTTTGCAGTGGAAATAGCAGCAGAGAAATCACTCATTCTGTACTCTATTAGCAACACTTTTTAATTAATAGACTTGTGGACAAACAGCTTTTTTGGGGTTGTACCATTATGAAGTTAATCTGAAATATTGCTATACGACTGCTGTAATTCAGTACAAGTATTTCTGTTCACTATCTACTGAAATGACAAGGGGTATGGTTTATCTAGTGTTCCTTAACTAATGCAGGTCTGTTAAAATGATCAACTAATCAGATTAAGTACCTAGTTTCTGATTTAAAAAAAAAAAAAGACTTCTGAGAAGTCCATTTACCAGTAGCTGAACTAGATGTAGAGATTTCTAAGAAATTAATGTATTCTCATATTCACTTTATTCTATTTACAGCATGCTATTATGATACAAAGGAGAAAAGATGGGGTGAAACCAAATATGCCTGCGGCAGAAGAGAGAGAAAATATATTGAAGTCAATGGGAAGGATGCCATACTGACCACACAATCTGCATTGTTTACTATTTAATGTTTACTACTGAGACTTGTTAGCTAGACAATAAATTTTTTTAACGTCTCTTTATTTTATCTAAGATGCTGCCAACTGAAGAACATGATTGCCTTAGATTATAAACTTTTGGAGTAGGAGAAGACAGGGCCTGGCAGGGATAACCTTTCTTCTGTTTTTAAAGTATCTGGCACTTTGGGGTCCTGGTCAGAGTTTGGGATGTGATAGTGTTAATAGATGAGCCTGGCCAGTTGGGGTGGGGGATGCAGGTGGGAGTCTGTGTTCCCGGGTAGTTGGCCTCAAAACCATCTCTCAGGGCACACTGACTCCCAAGGAGAGCTCCTCCTCTTCTCCCCCTCCCCATGTAAACATGTACCCTCTGACATTTTTTCATGGTTATACACATTTTAACATGCCTGGTCAGAGTAGGGCTTCTAGAAGCTACCATGATGTAAACAATTGTGTTCCTAAGAGGTATGTTGCAGGCATGTAGAAAGATGGCCCTGAGGCAGTTATAAAAGTAATTATTTCACTTAATGCTAAATACCACATAATTACCCTTGATATCTGACAGCTTCTTCAAAATAAGTTTTGACATAGAGGCATATCTGTGGCAGGAGACAAAGCAGCTGCCTAGATCAAGAATTACAGAGAGAGTGAAACTACGATGACTGGTTTTGTTTGGTACAACTTAAGTACTAACCTACTGTCTTGCTTAATAGTTAAAGTAGCAGGTCTCTCTTCTGGATTTTTCATGTGTTTATGCAAATGCCATCACTTAGATGAGTCACACTTACCATAACTCTAATTGGAGGTATCTGACAACAATACAGTTACTGAAGTTACAGCTTAACAAACTCGAACCATACAAGCTACTACTAGGAAAAAATACATAACTAATTTCTAGTTAAAGCAAAAAACCTGTTAAATCAGATTTGTGCAGCAGCCATCTGCTTCTTTGAGGACAGTCTTGAGAGGGAAGAAATTGGATTGCGTTGGTCTTAAATGTGCCTTTTGATTAACTGTTTAATGAAGCACTATTATATACCATCACCAGCAGGTAAATAGTAATAAATAAGTTGACAGAAAATGCTTACCCTACAATTACTGTAAGATATTTAAGATCTCAGCTCTGATTTTGGGCATTTAATAACGCCCTGGTCAGTTCATCTTCCATGAAACTTTCAAACCTCAACAAAAGCATTCTTAAAAATATCTAAAGCTATGTCTTGAGCACACAGAGTACATAAAGCACCTTGGCTGCTGAAAGTGACTTTTTCTGAAGGGGCCTAGATTGCTGAGCCTATCATGCTCTAAACAAGGCAGAAAGTTGCACTGCATGTTGCTACCTAATCAACCACCTTGTCTTACCACATTAAGAAAATCTCCCAATGTTGGCATTAAAGCATGAGCCATGATCCTATTCTGCCAGAGGGAGCACCTTCCACAATGTGGAACCATTTGTTAAAGCTACTGTTGCAGTGGACTTAGCATGTTGCATATGTGTTCCAAGTGATAGGATGGATGCTTTTGTCTGTAATGTAAGGGGTTAGTATATCCTGGCAACACTTGGTATAATGAGTTACAGGTAAGGTTTGACTGGAGAGACAATATAGTGACTTCAGAGAGTATAGTCATCCCTTCTATAACTGATATAATGGGTGCATTGCCATTGACGTGTCTACCAGTAATTACTGTCAAGAATCAGTAAAACTTTTTATATGAAACCTTGAAATTTTTTTTTTACTTGGTTGACTATTGAAAGACACTAGATCTCAATGTTATTTCCTCACCAGGAGCTGCAGTGTTTATCTTATTTTGTATAGTGTGGGTGACTGAACTATGAATGTGAAACAGAGCCTTATGTATGCAACAGTTCTTCACACTTTACAAAAATTAGTGGATTAACTATCTTTGACTTTGAGCTGAGGATATTGGTCTTTCCTTATCTCTGTGCTTACATTCCTTTTTTTTAATCAAGTGTAGTAGGGTAGAGACTAACACACAAGTAAAGGGCCAGTGTTTGATCCTGCTTTCAACTGTATCAACGAGTTCTAGAAATGTTCTGAATTTTAGTACTACACTCCTGAGCTGGATCTTCACTGTAGTTGTCTTATTTTACTCTGAAGAACTGTAACCATGTTTAGCCATGATCAAGCAATTTGTCTCTTGCCATCCTTCTCCAGCCTCTGACAAACAGAGGCCAAGGACACCATTTTATCCCCTGGCTAATAGCCTTTTATGGTCCTAACCTCCATGAAATTATCTAGCTTCTCTTTAAACTCTATTATAGTCCTAGCCTTCACAGCCTCCTCTGGCAAGGAGTTCCACAGGTTGACTACACGCTGTGTGAAGAAGAACTTTCTTTTATTAGTTTTAAACCTGCTACCCATTAATTTCATTTGGTGTCCTCTAGTTCTTCTATTTAGGGAACTAATAAATAACTTTTCTTTATCCGCTCTCTCCACACCATGATAGATTTTATATATCTCTATCATATTCCCCCCAGTCTCCTGTTTTCTAAATTGAAAAGACCCAGTCACTTTAACCTCTCCTCATATGGGACCCGTTCCAAACTCCTAATCATTTTAGTTGCCCTTTTCTGAACCCTTTCCATGGCCAAAATACCTTTTTTGAGGTGAGGAGACCACATCTGTACACAGTATTCAAGATGTGGACGTACCATCGTTTTATACAGGGGCAGTAAGATATTCTGGGTCTTATTTTCTATCCTTTTTTTAATAATTCCTAGCATCCTGTTTTCCTTTTTGACCGCTGCTGCACTCTGTGTGGAAGTTTTAGAGAACTGTCCACGATAACTCCCAAGATCTCTTTCCTGCTTTGTCGTAGCCAAATTAGCCCCCATCATACTGTATGTATAGTTGGGGTTATTTTTCCCGATGTGCATTACTTTACACTTATCCACATTCAATTTCATTTGCCATTTTGTTGCCCAATCAGTTTGGTGAGATCTTCTTGGAGTCCCTCACAGTCTGCTTCTGTCGTGACTATGCTAAACAGTTTGGTATCATCTGCAAACTTTACCACCTCACTGCTTACCCCTTTCTCCAAATCATTTATGAATAAGTTGGTGACTGACCCCAGCCACTAGGAGCTGAGAAGTTAGCCTGGGGGATGGGAGCAGCACAAATCTCATTCCCTCCAGGATGTGAGAGCTCTGTGGAGGGAGCAGCCTGCAGTTTCAAGCAGGGCGCCTTAGGGTGCTGCTGGCTTAGATAAGCATCTCCTACCCAGAGCCTGCTTCTGGCACTCCTGCACCTCAATTCCCTGCTCCGTGTCACAACTCCCTCCTACATGCCTACCCCAGGCCAGAATCCTCTCTTGCACCCAAACACCTCAGACCCTACACCAAGTCACCACCCAAACCCTCTGCAACCTTCCCTTCTTCTAAGTAACAGCTCCCTCCCAGACGTTGCACCCCCTCATAATGCCCCATCCCCCAGGCCAGAATCCTCTTCACCCATACCCCCTCCCTGACTCAACACCCCAATCCCCTGATCCAGGTCTCATTCCCCTCCTTTCCCCAAACTCCCTCACAGACCTTTCACCATCTCCTGTACCCCAGTCCCTTACCCTGTGTGTCCATCCCATTCACTCACCCCCTCCCCGCCACAGAAAAGTATGGTTCTTGACCACTTTCCAAAATTTTGGAGTGGCCCCCTGCCAGAAATTATTGTCCTGCCCTGCTCTAAACATTTAGGCTGTGTCTAGACTGGCAAGTTTTTCCGCAAAATCATCTGCTTTTGCAGAAAAACTTGCCAGCTGTCTACACTGGCCGCTTGAATTTCCGGAAAAGCACTGACGATCTCATGTAAGATCGTCAGTGCTTTTCTGGAAATACTATGCTGCTTCTGTTCGGGCAAAAGTCTTTTTCCGAAAGACTTTTGCGCAAAAGGGCCAGTGTAGACAGCACAGTACTGTTTTCCACAAAAAAGCTCTGATCGCGAAAATGGCGATCGGGGCTTTTTTGTGGAAAATTGTGTCCAGATTGGCCATGGACTCTTTTCCACAAAAAGTGCTTTTGCGGAAAAGCATCCTGCCAATCTAGACGTGCTTTTCCAAAAATGCTTTTAACTGAAAACTTTTCCGTTAAAAGCATTTTCGGAAAATCATGCTAGTGTAGACGTAGCCTTATATGGGTTGTGTAAGATGACTTGACAAATATTCCAAACAGCAGAATGTCCTAGCAATACATCTTAAACTGGTAAAAATCAAAATTACTAAACTTCAGAAGGGAAAATACTTTCAAGTAAGTACTAAAAGAATGAACACTGATGAAAACCTTTTCCTCTCCCATCTCCCTTTTGTCATCATTTTTGTAATTCTATCTCTTGTGTACCTGAATCCTGTCTATCTCGTCCATGCTCCATTCAGGCTGATGCTAACTTTTGCCCTACCATATCAGCCCTTGTCAGTATTTTAAAACATTCTTGTCTCAGCTACTGCATGTATCTGTTAAATATACTGCAACAAAAGTTCTTGTTTGCCATTGCAGCTGTTGTTTTTTACCTTGAATCCCTGATTTCCCTTTGGGTTAATTTGAAATGTCTCATCCTATAGGTTCTGCTGCTAACTGTATCTTGCCTCTTTCTTCTTTACTGTTCTCTTGATGATCTTACATGCAATCTCTGAAAGCCATCTCATTGAATATCTTTCTGATTCTGTTGTGCAGTCTCATTTTCCTCCACATCCCTCTATGACTTTTTTCCAAACTAGCCTTCCAGAGGATCTCCATCCCTGAACATCTCTGTCGCCTCCTACCTAATATGTGAATATAATAGCAGCTGTACACTTTTATATTTAAAAAATCCATCTGTATATATATGCTTACAAAATATTGGGTGCATAACGAAAGCCTATGATTTTTTTTATTGTTGTAGCCTTCCTACTTTACAAACTTTCCACCCCCATTTGTTGTATCTTGTTGGACAGTCTGCTTAATTGGAATTGTCAACTCCTTAAACAAGAATCTGCCATTTCTTATTAGTCTGTACAGGCAAGTGCCATATATAGCTGTAGCACTGTAGAAAAAATAGCTGAGAACACTGAAGACTAGAACAGACT